TAGCAGTAGCAGTAGCAGTAGCAGTAGCAGTAGCAGTAGCAGTAGTAGTGGTAGCAGTAGTAGTAGTAGTAGTAGTAGTAGTAGTAGTAGTAGTAGTAGTAGTAGTAGTAGTAGTAGTAGTGGTAGTAGTCGTAGTGGTAGTAGTCGTCGTCGTCGTCGTAGTAGTAGTAGTAGTAGTCGTAGTAGTAGTAGTAGTAGTAGTCGTCGTCGTAGTAGTATTAGCAGTAGCAGCAGCAGCAGCAGCAGCAGTAGTAGTAGTAGTCGTCGTCGTAGTAGTAGTAGTAGCAGTGGTCGTAGTAGTAGTCGTCGTAGTAGTAGTAGTAGTAGTAGTAGTGGTAGTAAGAGTGATAGTAGAAGGGGTGTTCATAGCAATAAACTTGAAGATCGAAAATACTGTGGCACTAGCCGTACTAATGGTCATGTCAAGCTTGCTACTAGGCGACCAGTCGTTCCAGCCAAGGCGATAAGATACACCCGATCTTGCCAGTGACTTCCAGTACGGAGTATCGAGCACTGCTGAAGCAGTCCCGAGGCCAAGTAACTAGATTCAGGAAGTAAACAGTACAGCAATCTTGTGCAACTTACCAATGTTACTGAGAAACCTCGCATTTCTCGATCGGAAGTTGGAAAAAGTCAGGCGAGAGGAGTCAGTACCCGCCATGGCATACGGGAGTAGATTCGTCGTTCTGCAAGGCTGCTAGTTAGCTTATGTTGCAATTACGATGTCTCATCATGCCATTCAAAGCTAGCCCTGCACTATAGTGCCATTCTTCATCGTCGAAGGCAGCAGGTACTGCTCATTTCTGCCCATCATGCTTGCTTGAATTTCTTCTGCGTTTTTTGGAGTTGTTGTCGCCTTGTCTGGAAATCTTGGCCGAGTTCCTCGGCGAAGGCCGTTCATTCGGCTGGCAATAAACCCCCAGCAGAATAAACATAATATAAACAACTTGTCCGGTGAGATGAATGCTAACCCGAGGGGAGGCTGCACGACGCCAAACAAGAATGCCTAAAGCCTTACAGGGAATCACCTCCAGAATTCTACGTCTTTTTGGCAAAGAGCTAATTTCTCAGGGCAGGCTCTGGGTCAGCAGCACAGGGCGCAGGCTACTTGTTTCGGGTTTGGCCAGGCCCTCATGGCGTGGTGCTGGAGCCACACCCATGCCAAAGAAGGATCTCGGACAGAACTTAGTCGTTAGATCCTCACAGCGGTCGGCACTGCCAATGCCTGCTAGGCGGGAAGGAGCCCTGTGTGTGAGTGACTAAGCACGCCGCTTTGACGATCGTCTTTCGCAAGGAGCCTGCCCGGAGGACCTCTGCCAAGGGCAAGGGGAAGGCATGGTTTGCAGAGCATGTCAGAGACTTTCGATTTGGAGTACGGTGGTACATATCAGTTAGAGAGAGAGAGAGAGCGAGAGAGAGAGAGAGAGAGAGAGAGAGACAGAGAAAGAGAGAGAGGGAGAGAGAGAGAGAGAGAGCGGGACAGCGCCGCGGGCAGGGAGGAGAGGGAGAGGGAGCGAGAGAGGGAGGGCGCGAGAGAGAGAAAGTGAGAGACAGAGCGAGAGAGAGAGAGAGAGTGTGTGTCTAGGAGAGACAGTATGTATGGCGTGTGTTGCACTATCTGAGCGTCCAAGCTCCTGCTTTTTGCCACGCAGCTGTCTTGCATGGGAACTCTGAGCCCCTTTACCTTCAAACCCTTCAATCCATTGAGCCCTGAAGCCGCTTAACACCGGATCTTCTCCAATTTTCTACATTGCCAGCCTGTACTTGCATGAGCAGTAGCTCAGAAGCGTAAAAATCCAAGATGGAGCGGGTTCTACAAAGTATCAGGCTGAGAAGCAGTCATGTCTGACATGGCGCAGGATAGTTCACGAGCACAAACATATGTGAGCTTTCCCCTTGGCCCTGCTTGTACATGGTATGCGCAATACTGATCAGCAGCGAGCCGACATCAGCCACTCTGGATGAATGCGGCCTCAGCCTCAGTGAGCCATTCAAGTATACGGAATCAACGCCCATGCTGTGCGGTTTAAACTAGCTTTTCCTACACCAGGTTTGTCTCCAGCTGCTTGCGCAAGTCTGTGGTGCCCCTTTTGCAAGGGAGCTTCGGTTTGTTCAGGATGCTTCAAGACTTTTACGCACTCTGGCGAAGGCGCCGCCGTCGTGGCGGTCCTCGCGGTGGCGCCCTTCTGGTCGAACTCCCATGGATCCTGGGCCCTTGGCCTCAAAGAACTGGGGACGAGGGGTGTGTGTGCTGAGGATGCTGATGTAAGGAGTATGTGTGGGATGATACCGAGAACTTCGGGGAGGCGGTGCGCAGCCGCCTTCATTGGTAGGGCCCTCAGAGGCTGCAGTGAGCTGCAATGGACCTGCTTCTGGTATGTTGAGGTCGAGGTGACGTAGGCTCTGCCAGTGTTTCCGGAGGTCCTGGGAAAATCTAGCCTGGTGGCATCGGGCATCGCGCCCAGCCTTCGCTGAGGTGCTGACAGTCTTCATTGGAGTTGGGAGTGAGACAGGCCAATGTACTTCGGGTCTACGAACCTGTTGCCCTTGCACTCAAAGCCCGGCGCCCAGCCTGAGCCTACATGGTCTAGTAGCAATCTTGCGGCTTTAAGACAGGGGAAGCATATTTCGCGAAGCCTTGGGTGGCTACAGGCCAGTGCGTCGGATCTCCTTGGTGGCCTGCAGCCGAAGAACCTCCATAGGCTGGCGGCATCAGCGTTGTCTTAGCGAGTGCGACTCAATACATACATACATACATACATACATACATACGTACGTACGTACGTACATACATACATACATACCCTTGAACTGACTAGTCTTTACCGGGCATCACAGACAAGGGTGCAAGGCATATTATTTGCATGCCATCAGTCATTTGTCTTTGAGAATGTTTTCTCATGCAGTGCAGTTTGCTCCTTTGCAGTTCAATGTGCTGTCATGTTGTAACATGTTGTAACATCCAGCTGCATTTTGTAGTCCATAGACAGAAGAGTATCAGATCGCTTCTTCCGTCCTGAGTTGGTTGAACAGGACTTGGCATGGGTTCTGCAGTTCCGACCAATATGTATTTCATTATACTATATATATATACACATAATATAGAGAGAGAGAGAGAGTATATTATACTATTATATTCTACATATACACTTGTATAACAGGCTTTCCCTGCTGTCCCACGCGATCACTGCGGTAACGGCTTTTGGCGGCAGTCCTGAGCTCAGAGGGTGCAGTCCCGAGCTCTTGCAAAGTAGTGTAGGCGCCTCTATAATTGGAATAGGGTTTTTGGGGGGTTTTGGGGTAATTAATATGATGTACTGATATATCACATATTATACTGCCACTGGGTATACAGAAGAATAGGGGACCCTACTATAGTACCCTAAATAGTAGGATCCTTATCATAAGGACCCCCCCAACATAAGGTACCCTGTAGTATTACCAAGTATTGAGGCCCTGTATCACGTAGAGATGACGAGTGTTCCAGTCAGGCTCGATGCTGCTCCGATTCCACCATCAGGCGGGGAGTTCTGAGAAGTTGGGCTCTTGTTAAGGGGTTTAATTTAAGTTACTTTAATAAGGAAACCAAAATATTTACTATAGATCCTTATTATGGTAACTTAAATAAAATCTCCTAACAAGAACCCAGGTTCTAAGAAGCTGTAAGCTGAATCACAGGTTGCCAGCAGACGCACTTACTATTCGAGCATCTGAAGCGACAAGTCAGGTGGACACTTCGAGACTTTGTTGGCAGACGGCCTGCTGCGAAGCTGGCTTGTGCTGCGACAACTTCTTGATTTGCAGAACAGTTGCAGAAACTCGACAGGTGTCTTTGGCACTGCCTTCTTTGCAGTTCACCCACTTTGTGTCCAAGCTGTGTGCCCTGAGCTCGTGCACTTTGCGTGGTGCAGTTGCATTTCGTCCCCTCCCTGTGTGGCGAATGACTGCATGTGCACGGCCTTTCTGAGGTTGGTCGTCTTGCCTTCCGTACCTGTGGGCAACATCGCTGTGCGGTGCCTGGATCTGTCGAATCGAATCCTTAAAGTCCACATCAGGAAAGGCGCGGAAGACGCTATGGAATCAGCCGTGCACGTATTCCAGCTGGCTCCGAGGTCCTGGCTCTCTATTTCATCTTACGTGAGCTGTGCCTGGAGCTTGCAACAAGTCGCTCAACGGTTCAAGACCACTCCATGCTCCACTATAGGTCTGGCGGCTCCATCACCAGCCGCAGCAGTACATGCTGTCGACCGTGGTGCTTGCCTTCATGCCAGCGGCTCACATGCGGTTGCTCTAAACTTATCTATCCTGAGCTTCCTGTATGATCGGTATGCCCTGGGTTTTTGCGGCAATCCATATAGAGGTTGTCGATTTTGGGGTCCTCCTCGTGCCAATGCCTCACTCTGTTCACAACAGATCGCTACACGGCATCACTATGCGGCAGCCCACACATGCTACAACGGTTCGTCCACGCCTACCCGGTCTCTTGGTACTGAGGGTAGACTCGACGCCATCGGCGGTCTCGGAGTGATGCGACTTCTGCATCTGGCCTTTCAGTGCCGAGGTCAGGCATCTTCTATTTCGCTGCTGTCATGTGCAAGGCACTTCTGGGGATATGAGGCTTTATGGGCATGATGCTGAAGGAAGTTGAAATCCTCCGTGCGGGTTCAATGTTTGATGCAACCGCTTGGCACAAGCATCGTCGGAGGCTGCTGCGCTTACGCTACCAGCTGCGCTGTTGATTCAACGAGTCTGCTGCCCAGCTGTGAAGTGTGGAAGAACCAGGCAAGCCTGCAAAGATTTCTCACACGGACCTCGTAGAAGCCGCATTGGCGCACATAAGTACTCAATTCTCGAGCATCCCGGAGCCAGTAACTCAGTAGTGCTAGACAGACATCTTTTGAATCCGAGGCCCCAAAGCCGAACCCCGAAAACCCCTAAACCTCAAAACGTCCACATGATCCTGATGCAAGGTGTCATGGAGGCCTTCTAGGTCCGAGGAGGCCGTCCGAAAAGCGTGGCAAGTTCCAGGGGTAGCCCTTCTAAAAGCAATAAGACCCATGGTCTAGAGGATGCTTGTATTCGGCAGCAGGGTATGAAGGAGGAAAGAAGACAGTGGTAGTAAGATCGTAGCGGGCGGCAGTTTGACATGGGAAGTGGAGAGGAACTCACGTCCCGCTGTTCACTGCATTCATTGATGCCGGCCCCGGACTAAGGGGGCTCTGTTTCCATGTGTCCGTGCACCACAGGACACCTAAACCCTTGGAACCTGCGCTAAAGCGAGGACGTATTCCTGTGCTTGCTCGCCCCGGCAGCCTTCTACCTGGCATTTCAAGCAGCAGGCCACGCTGCGCGTTTGTTCGTGTGAGGTGAGCGGTAGCCCAGCCGACGGGCAGTTTAAACTTCACACCAGGGATTGAAGTCCAAGTCAGACCAAGACTGCATGTCCTCGACACTTGTTGGCAGCCCAGCCTTCATGGACCCACATCAGTCTGTAAGAAACACTGCTGAACAGCTTCAAGTCTCAAGCAGGATGTCTAGTGCCTCCATCTTCGGATCATCGCATCAAGAGCTTTGGCTGTAAGCAGACCAAGCATGCATCCCAATAGAACTGCACCGAACATGGCGATAGTCTGCAGTGCTAGAGCATCACCGACAAGATGCTCGAGATCATAATCAATAATTCCACGCCGGTCATTTGTGCGCATGATATGATTCTCTGTATTATTCAGATTCCCTAAACCCTAAGCTAAAACCCTCAACGTTGCACAACCCTAAACCCCAAAGCCCTGAAAGCAACAGTAGGAAAAGTGATGGCCCAAAACTTCCACATGGCTATTATTCTACATACTTTTGGGATCCAGGTAAACCCTACACCGCCAAGCCCTAAACCCTAAACCCCTTGGTATTCCGGACACCCCCTGGGCAGATGGAAAAGAGGCGATAAAAAAAAAAAACCTGAACCCTAAACCCTTTGTCGGGCAGCAGGTGACAGCGCTGGGCAGCGGCAAGCATCGGCCCTCGGCTTGGCTGGTCTAAAATCAGGAGCTATAGGGATCGGGGTTCAGGATTTTAGGGTTTAGGGCCTTAGGGTTCAGGGGTTTACGGTTTAGGGGTTTAGGGTTTTAGGGTTTGGGTCTTTAGGGTGGAACTTTTTAGGGTTTCGCAGTATTTAACAGCACCCAGACAGAAGCTTTTAAAGTTGGGATGACCATATCTGAGTGTCTTACTGAAAGAGAGGTTTTTGGGATCTCGTAACAACCTTATGGTTTCATATTTCACTGCTTTGTAGGGGCAAAATATAATTGTCTGACCCGTGGGTTCGTAAACGGCTAATAGCCCCAAACAACGCGCTCAGATTCATGATAGACGTGATGTCTGAAAACTAACATTGACGCAGTAGCGAAGATAAGCGAAGGTTCAGAGCGCAGGACATGGTGTTCGTAGTGCCCTGTTGCTGGAAGTGAAGAGGGGCTCAAGCGACTCCATATCACCGGTGTCCGAGGTAGTCGAGCTGGATTTTGAAGACAATGCCAGGACACTTGGCTGTTTGGCTGCTGCAAGTTGGGTGCAGAGCTTTTTGAGTTGAGGTGTTGCGGGCCGCCATCTCCGCCTTCTTGTACATCGAGCGTCTGCTGGTCCCAGGTCACTGCATGTCAGCTTCATCCGCTGCTCTTGCCCATGTGCTTTGACTTCTCTGGCTGATGCAGGTTGGCAGGCAATTCCTTTCCACCCTGTCGTCATCTCCTAAGCCTTGGTGCATCGGCGTCCCATGCACAGACTCGCTAAGCCTCTTTGCCGGAGCTTGCATGGTGTGCAGGCGCTGGAGGGCCTGGCTCCGACGGAGAGGCAGGGTGGATGGGTGGCCAAGATCTCAGCTGCCTTGGAGACTTAGGGTTTAGGGTTTAGGGGTTTAGGGTTGCGGGGTTTAGGGTTTAGGATTAGGGGTTTAGGGTTGTTGGAGCTTTGCCAATATGCACACCCCACATCGCCCTTGTTTTCTCGAGGCCTTGCTTTCCATCATGGCTTTCACTTTCTTGGCAGTCCTGACGCTGCCCCATGGTTGCAGCAAGTGCTGGTGCCTCTGAACCCCAGGGCGCTGACTGAACTTGAATATGCTGGAGCCCCTAGGCTGAGAAGCGATGCCGCGCACTCAGCCAAGAGTGAGCCGGGTCCCAGTGATCTTCAAAATACATATAGTAAGTAAGGTTTCTATTAGGAGTTTTGGTTTATGGGGATACTGGTAAAATCCAAAACCCCTAAAGCCTGAAACCCCTAACCCGTTGAGCCCAAGCCCTAAGCTTCTAGGTATGTGTGTCGATAATGTTTTTCTCAAAGTTATTTGATTATTTGTCTATTCATTTTTACATATATATATACATACATATGTGTGTTTGTAGTTATGTTCATATTTTCCATTTATACTTGTGTCTACATTTATCTTTATATCTGCATCTAATTGAAGCGCCCTTGAGGCTTCCAGATTCTCTCGAGCAGCTTCAGCAGCCTGGCTTTCCTACCTGGCGATCCTAGCACCATGCCTCCAGTTGGGATCTTGGCATTTTTGTTGTGTTTGAGGGTTTAGGGTTTAGGGGGTTCCTTCCGGGTGTTGGCGATCTTCTTGTTTCAGCTTTTTGTAGCTTCGGGGTTGGTATTTGGACGCATGTCCGGCAGAGCCGTGCGCTACTTGAGGAACCTGATGCTCCAAAGGGCCAGCTTGCAAACTTGTTGCTTAATATAGAGGGCCCTTAAAAATTAGAATAGGATTGAATAGGGTTTGGGGTATATTATAGTATAATTATAATATTGTCTTTTTCTCGTCATCGCCAGCAAGATTACGTCTGCACCTTTAGCTTCAGTGTGTCGTGCCTCTAGTTGGAAGGAATGGTACTACAATCACAAGACTGAAAAATGGGTAGCAGCCGAACACCTTGCACCAATTCGCAGGGATACTCTGGTGCTCAAGCTCTCACTGCTCAGCCTACCTGTCCTTGTGTGCCGTCATGGAGCCTCAAAGTATTTTCTATTCTATCACTGTCTATTCTATTGTATTGTATTCTGAGATTCTACTCGGTTTTCTATTACATTACATTATATTATAGTGTTTGAACTTTCTTCAGTATGATACAATACCGTTTTCAGGATATATATATATATGATTTGTTTGATATATTCGACTGTTTTTGGTCTATGATATTTTTTTTATTTTTCTATGCAAGGTACTATATCATGTTTTATTGTATTATAACAGGTTAAGTACGTAACATGATACACCGTATCATATCATGTTATATTTTGTTCTGTTAGATTCTCGTCATCCCAAATTGCACTCATGCGATGACGTCGACTCTCGTCCCAAGAAAACCAAGCTGCTCCCGCTTTGAGGCTCCTGGTGCGCCACGGAGATCCTGTGTGGTATGCTGACAGGAGCGCCAACTTTGGAGAGATCGTGCTTCGAAATGGGGGTTTCCGAAAATAGGGGACCCTAAAAAAAGTACCCCCTAATAGTAGGATCCTTATTATAAGGACCCCAAAATAAGGTACCCTAATTTTCGGAAAGTCCCAAATGATCTGGCCCTGGATGACGTCTGGTACCGGCATGAAGCGGAAGCCAGGTACGCGTACTTGCCCGTAGCTCTCATCTTGCCGCCGTTTGCGGCAAGCACACTGTACCGGTGGGAGCCTGAGCGCTTCAGGCTGCAGCTGTAATGCCTTACCTTTGGTTAGTAACTATTATAATTATAGTTATCATCATGATATATGTTATAATTACCCTAACCATCGAACGCTTGAAAAAAAAAGCAAGGCATTCCGCTTGAAACTACCAATCGAATCTGCTACGCTTGCAAATACCAGGTGCTCCTGGATTTCCTAGTGGACCTGCTTGGAACATGATGTTCTCCTATAGGTTCTTCACTAGGTTCTCATCAATGCTTTCGCTAGGTTTTTAGAGCTGGGTGTAGAATGGAAAATGCAATGAGGAGTGAGAAAACAATCGAACAGGAGGTGCTTCCGCTTGACTTATGTTCACTCTCCGCTAGGTTCCTCGCTAGGTTTTTATTTTCACAATAACCTAGTGGCCTCGCTTGAAAATACCAATCGGAACCCCCTCCGCTTGAAACTACCATGTGAATCCTGGTTCTCCTATCGGTCGATGCATAGGGTATATTGACTATACTAGATTTTGTACTTATAGTTATCATCTTTCATAGTTGTTTGGAGATTTTCTCAGGGCGCACGACTGGCACATCGGCGCGATGGCCGTGTGTGGCCTCTTGTCCCAAGACAGAGCTCAGAGTCTCAGTCACAGCTTCAAAGATCAAGTCTTCGCGGAATGCAGCAGATTTTTCGTTCCACTCAGCTACAAATCCAACATTCTAAACCCTACAACTCAAAGCCCTAAACCCTACATCCTAAACCCTCAACCTTAAAGCCAGCACCCTGAGGCCCCAAGCTCACAACAAACAGGCCCTGTCCTCATGGTCTACGGCTTCCAATCCAGCTCGACAGGCCCTCAGAAATCTTCGCTACCAGAGATGACGGGGTTCTTGTTAAGGAATGTAGTTTAAGATGCCATAATGGGGATCTGTAGTAAATATGATATGGGTTTCTTTGCTAGTAACCCAAATTAAATCCCTCAACAAGAACGAAAACCCTAAACCCTAAAATCCTAAACCCTAGAACCCTAGAACCCTAAACCCTAAAACCCTAGAACCCTAAAGCCCTAAAGCCCTAAAGCCCTAAAAGCCCTTAAGCCCTAAAGCCCTAAAGCCCTAAAGCCCAAAAGCCCTAAACACTACAAGCAGTCTGCTGAGGCAGTGTGAACTCTGGCGAGGGGGTCTTCAACTCTGGAGCTCGGCAGTGGCAGCTCACAGTGGCTGGGCGGAGTTCCAGCATCAGCCGGGACCCTACTGCTGATGATATAAATCCTTAGCATTACCCATAATAAGGAATAGACCATAAATTCCCGTAGTTTAGGGTCCTTAGGGTAATGCAGGATTTATATCATCAACCGTAATTTCGATAACCCCCCTTGTAGCACCCCCTATAGAGACGCTTATGGACCCCATGTAAGGAACCTACCGAGCTGGGCAGCTGTGTGCTCCTGCTTAGTTTTTACTCGCAGCGCTTGCTCTTTCAGAAAAAAATCTTCAGTCCCAAGGCCTAAGAAGTCCACCTTTTTAAGGGCCTACAAGCCCTTGAGACCGTTAAAGGAAGCCTTGAAGCCCCTAAACCCTAAGGCCCTGATAAACCCAAAACCTAAACCCCTAAACCCTAAACCCTAAGCCTAAACCCTAAACAGGCCCTTATAAACCCTAAACCCTAAACCCCTAAACAGGCCCTTATAATTATAAGCCCAAGGCAGGAGCCCTCCCACGGAGGATTCCTTTGAGCCCCGCTAGGCTCGGAGTCTCCCTTGCAGCTGCGGGCAGAGCCGAGGAGGTACAGATCCGACTGCAAGGGTTTAGGGGTTTCAGGGTTTTTTAGGCTTTGGGATTTAGGGGTTTCAGGGTTGTTACTGTAGGGTTTAGGGTTTAGGGGTTGCAGGGTTGTTACTGTAGGGTTTAGGGTTTAGGGGTTTAGGGTTTAGGGGCTTAGGGTTTAGGGGTTAGGGTTTGGGGATCAGGGTTTAGGGTGGGTTGAGAGTGGAGGGCGTGAGATATGGAGTTTAGGTTTTCGGGTCTAGCAGAGATTAGAGGCTAGGATTTAGGGAGTGGGCTTAGACTAGAGTGTGGGGCTTAAGTTTAGAGCTTTGGGCTTAGAGCTTAGGGTGCAGAGCTTAAGGTTTTTAGAGCTCGGGGTTTGGGGCTTAGGGCTTTGAGCTTGGGCTTTAGAGCTTAGGGTTTAGAGTTCAGAGATGAGAGGTTAGGGTTTGCAGTTTTTTCAGTTTAGAGCCTAGGGCGTGGAGTTTTGGGTTTGGTAGGGTGGGTCCCTTTCTAGGTCCCCAAAACTAGTACGGCACCCTTATGCAAAGGACCCAAAAAAGGAACCCCATTTTAGAGAACTACCCCATGTTGACAGGCCTGAGAGCTTCCAATGCTCTGTTGGACCACATTTAAGGAAGATTCCCTACCTCAAGTCTTACGGTGTAGGGTTTAGGGTGTAGGGTCACCTCAAGTTCTTTGCAAGCTGCTGGGCCCTAGACCCGAAACCGGCTGTTGGCGCCTGGCAGTGTAACCCAAGAGCCAAAACCCTAAACCCCCTAAACCAAAAGGCCCTCAAACAAAAAAACAACCCCTAAACCCCCTAAACCCCCTAAACCCCCTAAACCCCCTAAACCCGAAACCCCTAAACCCCTAACCCCTAAACCCTGAATCCTAAACCAGGCAAAGCTGTCTTTGGACAAAGCCTGGATCCTGAGGCCGGATGCAGCACTCTAAGGGAGGGTCCCTGTCTTAGGTAACCAAGAGAGAGAGTACGGCACCCTTACAACACAGGACCCTATAAGGGACACTGGTTTCGAGAACTACCCGCATCGGATCTTGAAAGGGTTTCACAGCTGTTTTGCAGAGTGCTGTAATTATGCAAGGTCCTTTTCGAGGTTCAGAGGGCCTCACTGTTGAGAACAAGGCTCTGGGGATACCAGAAAGTGTAGCCTAGCTAGACTAATTAAGAGTTCTTGAGAGTATGAGTCCTTATTCAGAGGCGCTTACAATGAGGATCCGACTATGTAGGAATGTAGGGATCATCATATCACCGGATGCCACATCTTAGGCTGTTTGGCCGAGCTCTGGACTCAGAGTTTTCGATATGCTTGAATATGGCAATACCCAGCTTGTAAGTACTACTTATATATATATATGTAGGTATACATACATACATGCATGCATACGTGCACATGCACGTACATACCTACATACCTACACATACAGATTCACATGCACAAACATATACATGTACATATGCAGAAAGATATACATACGCAGAACATGAACATATACAGAAACATATGCATACACATGTGCATCTACAAAAGCATGTTTACATATGTACATATATATATACACACATCCATGTAGACATGTATAAATAAACATGGTATAGTATACGAACAGACATGCCATCTACAGGTGTATGCATGTGTATGTATATATATATGCATACATGCATATGTGGAGACAACTGTCATAATAATATGTGTATATGTACATATATATATATGTATATATGTGTATATCTACGTACAACATGTACAAGTATCATGTGCTAATACATTTTGTACATACATACTTACACACACATGTCTGTGTATATGTATATCTGTATGTTTATATACATATATGTGTGCATGTGAGTATGCTATTTAGATTGTGTTTATACGAAGTATAAAGTAGAGAAACTCACGGATGAACACTACCAATCGTTCTAGCTGCACAGGTCTGATAGCCCTATGCACTGCGCCATCGGGAAAAAGCTGGTAAGCCTTGATCAGCAAATGGGACTGCCAAAGCTTCACGTCCGCCGCGGCCGGGTCACAAAGAATGTGGGTGTTGACGACCTGAGCGACGTGATATGCGTGCCGCCGGAACCTGAATGGGCGCTCACGTCACTCTTGCCAACATCCAGAAGGGTTGGCTGTTGGGCTTTAGCGAAGAATCGCACTCAATGCATCGTGACGGCCCAGGGTTCGCAACGTCGCGAGGAAACATGGCCACAACACCATTTTTGGTCTTCACAGCTCTGTGCTATACCGATACCCCAGGAGCTGAATGAAAGGTGTGAGTAGGACAGGACGCAACTTAGGAACATGGCTAGCTTGCAAGTCTGCGCTTGATAGACCAGTACATACATGTGAAACCCAGCCCCCAAATAGTCTCAACATGCAGTGTGCATTGTCCACCAGCATCACTCCGATGCGACAACCAAACATGTTTCCAGCATGAGACAGGCAGAGAAAGGAAGCAAAGGGATTCTGCCTAGAAGATTGGGGACATCAGGGATTCCCGCTGCCTCGATGCACAGATTACATTGCTTGCATCCCACTGGAGAAACCCTCAACCGAGGAGTCCACGCAAAGCTGATGGCCGGCACCATGTCTGTTCCTCGGCATGAAACCAAGTTGCACCACATGGGCGGGCACGCCGACGACTTCAGGATTCACTTACAGTCATGTGCGAGAATGAAGAGAGACAGGGAATGCGACAGAGAGAGAGAGAGAGAGATAGCGAGAGAGAGAGGAAGAGAGAGAGAGAGAGAGAGAGAGAGAGAGAGCGTGTGCGTGCGTGTGTGTGCGACGTGCGTGTGTGTGTGTGTGTTTGTGTTTGTGTTTGTGTTTGTGTTTGTGTGTGTGTGTGCGTGCGCGCATGTGCGTGCTGATCAGGCAGCTTGGGGATGTTTGTGTGTCCGTTGGCCTCATAAACTCGTGGAGCTGTGTACTCCTATGGTGTTCTTAAGAGTAAAGCCAATAAAGCCCCGAAGCTGCGCGAAGTTCAATCAGCCCTGCCTTCTAAGCCTTCACAACCTAAGTCATCTAGCCCGCGCCTATCCTAAGAAAACCCTGCAACGCACAGGGATTCAACCATCAAGATATCGGCAACAGCATGCGGGTAGGATCAACATGTCGATGAAGCCGAGAATGTAGACAGGAGGAACCGCTTCCACTCGGAATCGAAACAACTGCCCCCCATCATGCTTGAGCTGAGGCGCTTCATATGCCTGTCCTGACAAGCCACTTGCTTTTGATGGTTGGGTCCCCCACAACAAAAACCGAACAGACTTGGAATCGGTCAGATGCTTGGGCTTGTGTTGCATGCATGCATTCGAAACTCTAGCCAAAGCAGGAACCAAAGAGGCCAATAGCTTCGATCCTTGGTTCCCGACCCCGCTTTGCTGATCCTAGTCTCTCTTCTCTGCCACGTTAACCCAAAACCCTAAACCCTAAACCTTACAAAGAGCTGAAGCAGAGACCTCAAGCTCGGACCCAAACTCCCTGAAACCTAACCCCCTAAACCCGAAACCCCTAACCCGCAAACCCTCAACCCTAAATATCTAGGTAGGCACCATTAAAAAAAAACTAAACCCTGGAGGCCCAACCTCGAAAATCCTCCTGGCCTCCACGATGACAGCCAAGGCGATATTGCCTTTGGAGAGCCGTTGGTTCACCTGCACCAAAGGAACCCTGTAGAGGAACCCTCAACACTGAAACCAAACCCCTGAAAAACAAAAAAAACAGAAAAACGAAGCCTATGGCATTTGGAGTTTAGGATTCAACTTGACCGGGGTTTATGGAGTCATCTCTTGGGATGCTGTGATGAAAGGGCTCTTTGGGAGTCCCCCCGGCATCTTATGGTCATTACCCTTTGTCAGTGTTGTTACCTCGGCAGCCCTGGGAACCCCCGACACCTACATCACTGTTCAGCTCCTTCATAGTAAAGGAACCTACAGGTGGGGAGTTTAGGGTATATAGGGCTTCTATAAGGCATCCGTAAGGTATATAGATCTTCTACAATGCTCCTATACCGGTAACTACCCACCTGATAAGCCTGGTAGAACTCGGCTTCCGGCTCAGGGGTGTACGAACTGAGATGTAAGCTATAGTCACATTGCTCATGAGCCCTTAGAAGCCTTATAGTCTTATAGGGATTTTGGGGGTTGGGGTTTAGGTTCTTCGGGTTTGGGCTTGATCCCCACTTCAGCTCACATTCCATCCATGAGGGAACTACAGGTGTACTTTTGGGAGTTTATAGTGGCTTACCGGGGGTCTAGTACCGACTACTAAGTCTGACAAACCAACTTCACAAGACCCTGAACCAATGTTCAAAGTCCTCCCTGACATTGCAATCTGACACAGTGCAGCCTCTTAGTTCAAGTGTTATGCCTTGAACCTTACGGGTCTGCTCAATATGGTAGGTATTTTTGACCCTTTACCTTAGACTGGGAAACCGTGGTGTTTGCTTTGGGCTGTTCTCGCGTAGTACCCGGTCGGCCTTCTCCTCCTGCTTCTGGTCCCTCACGTGGTGCGCAACTTCCTGCTTGGTGGAAGTCTTACGGTGTTCCTAAGCTACATCTCCAGCTTCCTTCACCTGCGCGGCTTACGTTGGGACTATGGCGCACCATACAGCTTACAGGTTAGCTACTCGAGCGCTGAGTGAAAGACTATAGGGTCTTGGCAAGTAAGGCATAATTCCAAGCAGCTGCGAGGTCTTGCGTCTACTACGCGCTTGGAAAGCAATTGGTTCTTTCGGGGGATGCCCTTCTTGTTGCATGGGTTTCGTGATGAGTGTGTTTTCAAGCTTCAGAATGCAAGATCAAGATGTCGAACCTAGCCCAACCAGAGTCGGCAGATGCCAACGAGATTTCATTCTAGCCCCTATGTCCCAAATCGTACACCCTTGAGACCAGAACCGACTCGCAGGATTCAGCTAAGTTGATGCCAAGGAGTTGCCTCGTCCCAGGTCTTCTCTGCTGCCGGGGTTGAGATGCATGGTAAGTACCATCATAGTAGGTACTTAGTAGGTATTTGGGCCCCAACAGTACATACTATACTATTACTTGGACCCTTTGGGAGTAGCTTTTAAGAACCCGAAGCTCCTAAGCCTAAAGCCGTGAACCCTGCAAGCCTTTTCTTGGGCTCCGATGCGGCGTTGGGCAAGCCAGTCCTGAGCCTCGATTTTCCACGCCCTGAACAGTTCTTCACCCGCAGCACCTCGTATTCAGATCGAATCCCGAACTCTGACGCCATCTCCCGGGCCTTCGCTTCGGCCTCTTCCTTGGCACGGAAGACACCGATGTGTACATGCTTCTTTTTCACAGGATGGTAGAGCCGCACCAGCCACTTCTTCTTGCTTATGTCAAAGGTGACGCCCCTCACTTTTGAGCGTGGGGGTCTCGGCTTCGGGGGCTTCAACTTGCCCTGGCGAACGAGCTCCTCGCGGTAGGCCTTTGCTTCTTGCAGTGCAGCCTCCACGGCCGCCTCATTGGCCAGGCCCTGCTCGAGGAACTTGCTAATTTTGAACGTGCGAGTTTTCGCTTTCCATCCGGCGCCCTTTCTCGAGTACTCTCGGCACTCCCATGCCGCACCCACCACACTCCAGCTGATGTTCTGGATGCCACTCTGGCGTTCCAGTCTTACCCCGGCTTTATAAGGCTTGCGGTCACGAGCAGCTTGGGCATGGGCATCTGAACTTTGCAGCTGGGAGCTCGAGGGCGCCGCTGCAACCGGGATCAAGGCATCCACCGCATGCTTGATTCTCATCCAAGCCTTCCCGGCAGCAGCCTCTTGAATCTGTCCAACATTGTGCTCAAATTTATTGATCTTCTCTTGCAGAAAATCCAAGACATGTTGGATGGCATGACAATCGAACTGGCTCATCCGCCATACACGCAGGGCCAGAAGCAGCAACGACCGAGCTCGGTTCTGTAGATCCGTTTTCGGGCCCTCCGATTCCCGGAATTCTTCTGAATCAACAACATCCTTATCCTGTGTCTTCGCTTGTCTTTGAGGAGCTGCAAGGCAAGCTGCGGCAGTGTTGATGATGTCTGTCAGCTCTGCTTGGCCGAGGCTGCTCCGTGGGCGACGTGCTGCCTGCTCGGCCTGCTTCAAGCGCTCCAACTTCTGAGAGTCATCCAGAAAGCTCCACTCATTCCTCTTCCTGAATAGTCTCAAGTGTTGGTCAGCAATGGCAGATGTACCAGGAGATGCAGAATCGTCCACTCCAGCTTCTTGCACGAAATCGTGGTGCTCGGAATTGAGTTCTGCAAGCGCTATGTCATCATGTGAAGCGGCCACCACTGCGTCCGCCACTGCTTCATTGCCGCGCTGATGCAACTTCCGCAGGCTCTTTTGCAGCTGTCTTTCTGCCTTATTCCAAGCCTCATTCGCAGGTTTAGGGAGAGACTTGAGCACAGATTGCATGTCCGATAAGACATCTTTCAGTCGCCGAGGCAGACGCCCACCATCCATCTTGTCAAAATACTTTTTCAACAGCTTGAACTCGTCCATCGTTGGAATTCGGCCCGGCTCGCCGTAGGAGACCCAGGATGCCACATGGGCTGCATGTCGTCGCAGGTCTGCCTGGTCGAAGCAGTCGGCCTTCTGTGAGTATTTGCTGATCCTGGCCGTCATACAGCGACTACCGCTGCTGCTCCTCCTTCTACTACTATTGTTGGTACAGGTACTTCTCCTACTGCTACAACATTTGCAACAGCAACTACTTTCCAACCACGGTTACTAAACCGACGAATAGTACAAGTACTACTTGCTACCTACTAAGACGTGCGCTTGGCTACTAGTGCTTGTGATGCTACTGGTGCTGGAGCTGGTTATGGCCCAGTTGTTCGTACTTGTTTTGGTCGCGTTGGCATTGGTGGTGGTGGCTCTGTAGGTTTTTGCTAGTGACGGTGGCGTTGGTGGTGGTAGTATTGTTCATGTTCGAGCTGTCAACACAACACGGCAATAGCTAGTGTTGAAGTTCGAAGCCGCAGCGTGCTTCTTAACGAAGCCAAGCAGCACCACGGATTTGTGCTTGTGCTGATGATAGACGCAGGCATGGCGGCGCAAGCGCCAGCTGTGCGACGGAGCCATGGGAAATCCGGCAGGTCGCGATTAACCCCCATGCCGTGATTAATACCCATGCAAGCTCCGAAGATCGAAATCTGTAAGGCATTGTAAGGCTGTCAGGAGGAGTTGATAGCTTGCATGGAAGATTCACTGCACTGCAAGCAGAACTAAATCTCCACCACGCGTATGTTCAGCTGCTCAGTTTCATGAGTCTGCACAGGTATGATGGAGAACATCGGCAGGCAATCCAACCTCCTCCGGATGCCCCCCGCCCAGCCCCCGCTGCCGCCCCGTGTTTTGGCACACACCGTGCTTACCGTTACAGTACAGGCATACCTAAACCCTAAGCTTCCTGACCCTACTGCAGCGAGCAGGACAAAAAGGCGCTCTCTCTGAAACCCTTCTGTTTGTAAGAGAATTTAGGGGTTTAGAGTTTAGGGTTTAGGGGTTTAGGGTTTAGGGAATATCATCTGCCGCACATCTCTCAACCCCGAAGGACCTAGCCGGGCTGAACTTGTTCGTATAGAACGGGTCCTTTAAGTCAACAAGGATCTGACTGACTGCTGAAAGCTCCTTGCAGCCTAAGTCCTGATTCCATCCGTTTCCTAGTCAGGATCAGACCCTGCCCACCCCAGCAAATCAAGTCCTCTGCCCCTGAACGCTCAACCATTCTCAACCTTTCCACAAAATGACAAACGTTAAACCCCAAACTAAGCCTGGAGACTTCGGATAAAGGGGCCCTTCAGGTTTCGAGTTGAGAGATGTCATTCAGGGACTAGGTTTTTGGACCGAGGGAACTCGAATTTCGGACCTGGGATTTCAGGTTTACGGCTTGGGCTATCCCAGACCGCCCGAAACCCTGAACCCTGAAAACCTGAAGCCCTAAACGGTCTAAACCCTGACACCCTGAACCCTGACGGTGACGCTCCTCGCGTTAAAAAAGGGGTAGCAACCCTTTAAGCAACCGGTATGATAATCTATGTGGGAACTTTTTTTCGAGGGGCTGCAGTGCACTTGCCTTCATGCCCGCAGTGAGAAGCTTCCGCTCTCCCTATAACTACGGTAGAGCAACCCTTCTTCAACCCCTAAACCCTAAACCCCCTAACTACGGGAACCCTTCTTCCCCTCTTATAGGCCTAAAAAAAACCTACAGCCCTCGTCCTGTTGGGAAAGTCTGTCGTAGTCGAAGATGTGCTTTTCCACTCTCTTGAACCGTGAGGTTCTCCAGAACCTGGGGCACTCAATGCCTCGAAAGGCTTTCCTTATGGAGGGGACCCTCTAAGCGCGAAGACAGAGGTTTACTAGTTATATGGGAACAGTTATGGGGTATAGTGGAACCAACCAGACAAAAGAACCCCCCCCAAAAAAAAACAAAACTGAAAGCAACCTGAAAGCAACGGTGAAAGGCCTGGGGAGACAGACACGGAAGCATTGACGACACCTAACTAGCCGTTGCAACGGAGAACCTGCTACCTGCAAAGGGTAGGAGAGAGGTTTCTTACTGAGACTGGTGACTAGCGGTGTTCAGGATTCCAAACGGGCTGTGACGATACCTATCCAAAATTCCCAGGCAAACCAAAGGTAACCTGTTGAATCGTATTGCGATGCTTATGCTCCCGAAGGGTCCAAGTAATAGTATAGTATATACTTTGGGGGCCCAAATACCTACTAAGTACCTACTATGATGGTACTTGGACCCTTTGGGACTGCAACAAGACGGTGCAGATTGCCAACTTGAGTGCCGTCCACCACCAGGCAACCCCAAAATACTGCAACGATCTCACCAAATCAAATCTCAAGACAAAGAACTTTAAACCTGCAAATCCCTGAAACCCAGCCAACTATCTCCCAAGGCTGAACTGAAGCCCTAGTCGCAAAACACCCTCCCCAAATCAAATCTCCAATCAAAGAACTGTCAACCTGGAAAGTCCTGAACGGTTGAGGGTTTGGGGTTTAGGGTTTGTCTGAAAACCTAAAGGCTAAAGCCAACTATCTGAAAAGGCTGAAACCCTAGTCGTAAAACGCCCTCCCCAAATCAAATCTCAAAACAATCAACTTCAAACCTTTAAGCCCTGAAATCCTGAAGCAAAAAGTCCTCTCAAAAGGATGAGACCTGATCGTAAAAACATCCCCCTTAATCAAAACCTTTCAAAGCTAAAACACCTGAAGCCACCCAAATCAAGTTCCAAACCCGGACCCAGGTTCCCACCAAGAAGGCTCCGATACACCCGGCCGCGGCGTTTAGGGTTTAGGGGTTTAGGGTTTAAGGTCTTTGCTTTTGGTTGTGACGAGGGGAGTGTTTAGGGTTTAGGGCTTTAGGGTTTAACGTCTTTGCTTTTGATTGTGAGGAGTGGGGGGGTGGGGGGAGTGACGGACTTTAGGTTTCGGAAGCTACGAGCCCGGAAGCCTGATTTTTACCTTGAACACCACGAACCCCTAAATGGTTGTTCTCTAAATTAGGGTCCCCTATAGGGTCCTTTTTATAAGGGTGCCGCACTGTATCGGGGACCTAGAAAGGGACCCTAATTCAAGGAAGTCCATGCCAAGCGAGACACGTAGCGCAGCCTTCGCTTGTGTACCTGGATGTATGCATGGATGCATGGTTTGGTAAGGCTTCGCTTTCATCATACAGCGGCCTTAAGAAGCAGAAGCTGGGTTTTGGCAATATTTCACTAAAAGAGAACCAGAATCCCGAGGCCCGAACTGAACCCTAAACAGCTAGTCAAGCCCGACCTACTAAACCCTAAGCCCGAATGCCTACATCCTAGCCGCTGTTGCTCGGTGGGCGTCTACTGGCGGCCTCTTGTTGCGTCTCTCTCTGCTCCTTCTGCTTGGGGTAAATGTTCCAGCCCTGGTGGCCGCGCTGGACATCCGGGGGGCTACTACTGCCGGACATAGATCTGGTCAATATCCAAGTTTTAACCGGCACGGTACCGGCATCTTGTAAATCGTCGGTGTCTCTCTGGGATCCAGAGCGACCTGCTCATCCCTGCATCCCTGCATCCTATACCCTAAACCCTAAACCCTAAAACCCTAAACCCTAAAACCCTAAATCCTAAACCCTAAACACAGACCAGCAACCCCGACCGCATCCCCAAATGCTGCCCAGGAGGCTTCCCACGATGGAAGATCGGATCTCGCTTCTTCCTGGGTTCGATCTTGACAAGCCCTAACCCTCCAGGTGCCTACTATATAGGGCCCTAGGGGCTCTAGTACCCTATATAGTGGGTACCTGGCGGGTTAGGGAAGGGTTTCCACAGGCTTTACAGGATCCGAAATGGCTCACTTAAGCCGACAGGAGGATCTGGAGCTTCTTCTTGGCTTGAACTTTAAAGGCGCTAAAAAGGGCTTTAGGGCTTAGGTATGTCTTCCTTCTGTTGCTTAAGGGATCCTTAAACTTCTTCCTTGGTTCGGATTGGTAAGTTTAGAGTCGTAAGGTGTTCCGGGATTTAGGGTGTATGCAGCTTTGGGTTTAAAGCTTGGGTATTCAGGCTTCGGTAGGTTTGAGGTGTGAGGGTTCGGGTTTGTATTTGGGTTCTGTCAGGGCCTTGTGCCGCTTTCGGGTCAGGGGCGTATAAAGCCGTAAGCATACCCGAGAGCCCGGTAAAGATCACAAGTAGCGGAATCCCCGCACTTTTCTGTAAATCATCGCAAGCCCCGACAGCAAAAACTAATGAGAGACGCCAAGTTTCATGCACCTAACAGCCCAATCTCAAACTAGGCGCAGACCCTGCGCCAACAAGAAACCCTCGAACCCTCGGCCTCAACCTTAGACCCGAGCCCTCAGCGATGAACCCCAACACAAAGATCCCTCAAACCAACCTTAAACCAACCCTCAACGTTTGACCCTGAATCACCAATGCCTAGACATCATGGAGGAACCAATGTGCCTGGCAAACAAGGAGAGGACCAGTAAACCTGGTGAGCTATACTGTGCCTGAAGTACGTTGGTTGCACAAACCCTACACAGTAAACCCGACTCTTCAGACCCTCCAAACCCTCAACTGCAAACCCCAGTTCCCAAGTCATAAACCCATGAAAAAATCAACGAACCTCACATGAAAACCGCACTTTCCGTTCCCTTAACCCTCAAATGTCACAAGCCCCGAGACTGCTGGAAGAGGCCATCGTAGCCATCGGCAGCCAGCTCTGGCTTGAACCACTCGTCGAAGGCATCCTTCTGAACCTCTAGCGTTTGTAAATTCAGGGGGTCAACGGTTGAGGGTTTAGGCATGTTTAGGGTGTAGGGTTTATATAGGGGCTAAGGCGTGTGTGTGCGCGCGCGGGTGTGTGTGTGTGTGTTGAAGACACGGGTCTGAGGGTTTATATAATTCATAGTGTGCACCCTCTGGACCCGAGGCATAGGCGACAGTGTATAGAACTACGCAGTGTGCGTTCTGGACATGAGAGGACTTTTTAAAAGCATGAGAGATTCTTGCACTTTGAAGTATACCTCATTCCGATTTCAGTTGTCTCTTGTCAGCATTCTCCATGTTGCTACTGTCGTCGCTGTGTCGATGTTAGTTTTACTGATGCAGCTGCTATGTGCCTACCTTCATCATTATCATCACCAACATCACCATCGTCAGCCCCGTCATACCGATGCCATCCCTTCGCAGGTTTCGCACATGGTTCACCGGATCGCCCGACTGCTTCTGACAGCGAGGGACATATTCTTCGCTAAACTTGTATGGAGGGCAAGAGTAGAAGCAGCCATGCCTACTAGGCATTATCGTTGAGTTTGTTTGTCCTGCAACAAGTGCTATGATGCTGATCGCACCATCCCCCTTCGCAGCGCTAGCACTGGTACGATTACAGCAACAGCTTCGGGGTGATTCCATACCAAAGTCAAGACTGCTTGCAGAAATCACTAAGACCCACAATAATTAGAGGCCTTAGGGCTTGAACGGGACTGGGTATTGTTGTACAGTCTCGGGATCGTCATACTGCATAAGTAGACGCGGATCTTCGTACTTGTAGCAAGGATCTCTTGGAGCCCATCCCTGAAGTAGGAAGGACTCCGGGGGGCTTCTACCATGGGTCTTTGAAGGCTCTTTGATCACAGTCTAACCCTAAACCCCTAAACCCTAAACTATGGCTTCAGGGGTCTGTGGGGCCAGCCGGGACCTAGCTCCCATAGAAGCCATAGCATGCAGGGCCGGTCGGAAAAAAAAACAAGCCAAATCCTTAGTCCTTAGAGTTAAACACAACCTAAATGCCAAACATTCCAAACCCTCAAACCCTAATTCCCCAAACCCTGCGCAAAGCCCAAATACCCTAAAGCCTTATCCCTCAAGCCCCCCGGCCCCGAAGCCCCTGGCTCTCTGTCCCTATACAGCCTGAAACCCTTTATGCTCCTAAGCCCTAGACCCCGTAAACCCCTAAACCCGGATGCGTCACACGCCTCCTGAAGAGTGATAATATCTGCACCCATGGACTTCACTTCCTGTGGCGATCTGACTTGGGTACGGGCACTTGTGTCACCAAGACCCGAAACCGGAAGCAGAACCATCGGATCGATGATAACAGCTTGTGGGCTGCACTCTTCGGATTTGGGAATGGTGATTAGCTTGTAGGGTTTAAGGTGATAGGGTTGGATGTAGTCATCTGCTCTAACGCTCTAACTTAAACCCCTGGCTCCTTCTAGGTTCCTGACAGGGGTGCGGTGCTGCTATGTCGGGGACTTGGAATCCAGTCTTCCTAACCAGGTTCCGACACCATGCGTGTATCTCAACAACGGAACCTGAACCGTTATAATCCTGAGACATTCACAACTTCAGCACAAACGGAATGCAAAACCTGCATCTAAGCTGTCCTTTCAACGTGAACAAACACCTAGCGTAGAAATTGAACCCCGACAGCCTCATACCTGGAAGTCCCAAACCTTTTGACCCCGAAACCCTCCAACCCACACGCGTACATCGCAAGCGCCGGCCTTGATGATGAGGTGCTTGCGCCAATTCCAGCTGAGGGCCCACTTCTCGCAGTAGGGGTAGACCTTGGGCTGGCCGCAGCAGGGCGCAGCGCAGTGGCGCCCATGAACACAGTTCCGCAAGAGGCTCTCGGGTATTTCTGAGCCCTATATGGTAAAAGTGCTATAGAGCAAAGGTTGCTAGTAGGGCTGGAGCAACTAGAACCTGATTAGATGGCACATAGACTTCGGAGGTATGGAAGAGAACATAAGGAAGTCTTTTGATGTTGGACTCTGCGCGGACTCCAACTCTAAACAACAAATCAACACACAACATCACTCGCAAAACCACCCTCTCACCGTCACCCCTTATTGCCGAGCAACTGTTAAACTCAAACTCCCGTAAACCATACTATACCAAAAAACGAAAACCCTGCTAGCAATACAGCCTTATAAAGCACTAGAATTTGAAAGCATAAACCGTAGACTGTAAACCCTCAAACCTTTTTGCATCCAGCCTGCAACTGACTCTGCTGGGAACCAGGTCAAACCCTAGACCCCTCAACGTGCAGAAAAGCCACATTCTCCGTGGCATAGAGATCGGCCAGGATGTTCCAATTAAAAACCTTCAGGGTCTAATTCAGCTTTCCTGCATGTTGTTCTAAGAAGGCTCTACAAGGGGTTGCTTGAGGGCCGTCAGAGCTTGTAGGGATAAAGCTTGTGTAAGGATTCTGTAGAGAGCTGAGGTTAAGTCTTCAGGGCTTTAAAGGCATTGGGATACGAGCGTCAGCAATGCATGGAAGCAAGCCTCCACAAAAAAAGGACCAACGCTAGACTACATCACATGTGCTGCACATGCCACAATACACTAACCCCGCATCCCTGGCCCAATTCTTTGGTTTAGGCCTGAAGGATTTGAGGGTTTAAGGTTCGGGGGTTTCGAGTCCGTAGTGCCTTGAACTGCTTTTGCAGCCACTCCGCGTTGAAGGTTCCACCGTTGCCTGGAGGAAAACCAAAAATCCTACGACAGCATCACAGGACCAAGCCTGCAGGACAACGACACAAGCGAACATGCACCTTCACACCCCCTATCGTACCCTTCTGGATCCCTTTACAGAAACCCTCATAGTTCGTTTCACTTTGAACCCCCAAAACCCCCCCGCCCCCAAGCCCCAAAGGCCTGCAAGACTCCATAGATCGAAAGCAGAGAGCCTCATCGCGGCCCTCCTGCCGAATCCCAAACCCCAAGCCGTAAGTCCCAACTCCTCGAAACCCTAAACCCCTTGACCCCCCCAGGTACCTACTATATAGGGTACTAGAGCCCCTAGGGCAATATATAGTAGGCACCTGGAGGGTTAGGGTAAATTGAAGCCCAAAACGAAAACTCGGATGCAAAGGCCCAGCTGCTGATCATCTGGCGCATCCGGGCTTCCTTTGGCGTCGGAATGACCGTTCCGGTGGTGATCGTCATCTTCCCCTTCGCCTGGCAGGGAATCTTTAGACCAGAGGTTTAGTTTAGGGTTGCGTATTTCTGATATTTGCAGTGAGCCTATAGAGACTACTCTAGAGATTCCGGGTTCATGACTCTAAGTAGGATATAACAAGCTATACAAAGTGACACAAGGACTATCATCCTTGCAGTTTAAGCTTGAGGGCCTCGCGGGGCTTCGAAAGCCTGCGTAAGCAATTCAAGCCGGAAGGTCAACGCCCAAGCGTGGGAGCCCTTTGCAACCTGCATGGCCGTATCATAGGCGCACTATCAGGACAGAAGTCGAGGTTCGAACCCCAGCCACGTTACCCGATGCACACCCCAGTTTGCCTGGCACTCAGACTGCCAGACCAGGCCACTCTTGCCACAAGAACCCAAAACCCTAAACCCTGAACCCTCCAAAAGACAGCCTTGATTTTCGTAATAAAGGACCCATGCACAAGTCTCCAAGTCAATGCCCGGAAGGCCCGTGTAGGGGCCAGCAAGTGTCGATGCAACCGGGACGCCCGAACCCATCCCATAAGAGTTTAGGGCCTAGAGGTTAGAGTGTGGGGATTAAGGATACGGAGTTTGTGGAGCTAAACTTTACAGCTTGGGGTTTTGCGTCTACTTCAGCGCTCAGCTCCCGTTCAGGCCTCCTTCCCGCTCTTGGTGAGGGGAATGATGTCCTGAGCTCAGAACTTAGAACCGACGTGCAAAATGGCCACCCTCGAAACCTAACACTCTGGGCCCTTATAAAACCAAGAGAAGGAGCCAAGCGAAGGGGTCTCTCGATGTCGTTCTGCGTTGGGCTGTACTGGCCTCGGCTGATGAAGACGGAAACGCCTTGCGATGAAGGCTAGCCGCTGGCCTCGAAGCCACTTGCCATGAGCCGACACCTCAATACCCTAAACTGACCTCAGTTGAAGTACATAACCCTAAAGTAACCCTGAGGAAATACACCGGGATACACTGTCTCTCTTCCAGCCCGAAGCTCCCCTACAGGCCCATCAACAACATATGTAAGCAATGATCATTATCCATGGGCTCCATTGCAGTTCGTTTTTGTGGTTTATATTTAGGATCCTGTAAGGCAACCCCCCCAAAGGGTACCACAGTGGAGCCTATGGGTAGAACACCGGTTGGGCGATATCTGAAAACAGGCTTTAGCTGGACGATACGGGCATATCTTTCACACACCAAGACGCTACGAGTAGCTTGTGAAAAACTAGCCGCGGTCCCATTAGCAAGCTCTTTAGGTTGGCCCAGTCGAGTTGGCTTTTAAAATTTAAGCACAGAGATTCATCGAATTTCAAACACTTCTAGGGAAGCCTGTGCTGAAGTGGCGGGAATTCCCCACCTCTGTCCACTGCGCAATTGGATCCTGCACAGGCAATGTCCTATAGGGCTTCATTCTGGGTTTTGTAGGGGCTTTTCAATGTCTCAGATTTACATACTTTACAACGTGATGGAGATTTCTCGGAAGTTGCACACCTGTGCAAAAGTCTTTTTCTAGTGTATACCGTATATCTACTTTACCTATATTGTGCTGCCTGGAGCGTCGAGGCACTGGCATCTCGACAACCTCGATTATCGACAGCCTGAGAACGCACCCAGGCCTAGATCAGATCCCTGGCTCTCCAAAATCTTCTGAACACGTTTATATCATAAAATTAGGGGTGCCTTATCTGGGGCTCCTTAAAGTAAGGACCTCTACTCACCGGGCGTCTAACACGCTTAGGCCAGGTCGGTGGTTCGTTGTTACTGTCTGTGGTTATCCCTCAAGCACGGGCACTATCAAACCCTAAACCCTAAACCCTGAACCCCTAAACCCTAAACCCTGAACCCTAAACCCTAAACCCTGGCCACTGACATCCAAGCTAGGTCTGCTGTCAAAGGGCATGATGCCACGACCCAATCAATCAACTCGGAGAGTTCCATCCATTGCCTAACTTAAACCCGTTGCAACAGGCCTTCTGTGAGTTCATCCGGCAAGCTCTCGCAATCAAAGCTATCGTGATACCTCCCCAAATCCTAAACCCCTCAAGCCTTACACCCCTCAACCCTAACTGCATATGAACCCCTGAGCCCTATAGATCTCTATATTTCTAGTGGAACCCCTATAACAACCCCACAAAAAAAAGCTCTGAAACCTTCAAGGCTGAAGTCCTCCGCTTCGTTCTCCTCTGGCTTCGGATTCCAGGAATGCTGTGGCAGGGTGTGCCATCCTCCAACGGGCAGCAAAATTGATACACGAAGCGGATCTCAACAAGTTCTACGAGGGCTATATACTGGTACGCGCACATGTGTATGTGTATATATATATACACACATACATACATATACATATACATATACATATACATATACATATACATATACATAATACATATACATGTATTATGTATATGTATACGTGTACCTGTATATGTGTTATTTCAGAGGGTTCAGTGCCGCCCGTGTGGTAGCGCGATCAAACCTTCACCGGCGCATGGGTAGTTCTCTAAATTAGGGTCCTGTTTTAGGTCCCCAATGTAGTACGGCACCTATAATAAGGACCCTAAAAGGGACCCTAATTTAGAGAATCACCACATAATTTATGCGCAATCCTCAGTAGCACTCACTAGACGCGGATGCTATTTCCCAGGCCTGCGCTGCGCAAGCCCCAACAAGAAGCACACTCCCAATCCTGTTCAAGCCCGAACCACAGTTTTTGAATCCGCTTATGCCCAAACCATATCTTGGTCTAGTCGGCTGCAGTGATAGTTAGGCCCGGGTAAGCGCCTCTAAGGAAACACTCTCGGGAGCAGTAGTGTCTCCAGGTCTTGGCCACATCACGGATGGTCGACCTGGTGGCAGTGCTCGGTTCAGGGTGTTTTTGCCTCCCACCTTGCTAGGACGAGCCCGCATTGCAGGGGTGTAGGGTTTAGGGTTTAGGGTCTAGGGAAGGGTATAGGGCTCCGGGTGGTTCAGAATCTCGGCTTCAGGATGTATATCCCCAAGCCCTTATCCCAAAACCCTGAACCCTAGCGTACAGGGTCTGGCAGCAACGGATGCAGGCTTAGCGGATTGGAATTGCAAGCTTCTAATAATTCTAATATAGACGGCATATTATAATTTCACCGTAATTAGCAACCCTAAAGGAACTTCTTGGTAGTTATTTAGGCCCCTATCTTATTGCAGAGCTTCTGAACTCTATAAACCCTTACACTTACACCCTATAAACGCTATAAGCCCCTAAGCCCTAAATCCTATAAACCCTGTAAACCCTGTAAGCCCTAAGCCCTAAATCCGATAAACCCTGTAAACCGTTTATACCCTATAAACCCCATAAGCCATAAATCCTATAAACCCTGTAAACCCTGTAAACCCTGTAAACCCTCTAAACCCTATAAGCCCTAAACACCCTGTAAGCCCTAAACCCTATAAACCCTTTAAGCCCTAAACCCTATAAACCCTATAAGCCCTAAACCCTATAGGCCCTATAACCCCTAAAAGCCCTATAAGCCCTAAACCCTATAACCCCTAAAAGCCCTATAAGCCCTATAAACCCTCTGAACCCCTGTAAACCCTATAATTAAGACCCTAAACCCTAAACCCTATAACCCCTAAAGGCCCTATAAGCCCTATACGCCCTAATGTAGAAATTCAGTACTCAGCCAGACTCAGCCCTCCGGGCGCCGGTGCGCAGCGTGCAGCCAAGGGTTCTGGAGCAGGCGCTACGGCGAACCCGAGGAAGCCCTGGACATTTAAGGACCCAATAGCGCTAAACCCAATAGCGCTAAACCCTAAACCCTAAGCCCGAGGAAACCCTGGCCATTTAAGGGCCCAATAGCAGGAAGTTTTTGTAGCCAGGAGCCCTAAAAGGGGTAATTTTTAGCCAAGAGCCCTAAAAGGGTAGCGAAAACTTGAGGTTCAGGTAGAAAAAGGATGGGTTCTAGCTGAAGCTGACACTTCCTTTCCCCGAAGAGTTCAGGCCTGAAGGCTAGGCACATTTCAATGCTGATACACTGCCCGGGCCGGCTGAGGGTTTAGGGTTTAGGGAGCCAGTGTCTGTCCAGAGAGTGTGTCCTGGCTTGAGATTGCCATGGGCATTGGTGGCAAATGTTTTTGGAATCCTCAAGCCATGTATAGGGCAGTGAGCAATCAAGTCCTGCAAACAAGATTAATAACAATGATAGTAAATGATAATGATAACCGTGCAACTCTCAACAAGAACTATAGACATACTGGCAACAATCTTGATTACGTGATATCAACCTGCTGAACGTTTAGATACTTGTCTCCTGACTCAGGATGATTGGAAGTCCACACTCCTCGGGTTTCCTTTCAGCCGGAGTTGCATCTTGTGTGGGTGGTAAAAGCAAGGCTGGATGCGCGGACCCCGCATCCATCGGTACTTTACCTGGCAGTCGCGAAGTTCATGTTGGGGTGTAAGATGCCTCCTACTTAAGCCTTCGGCTTTATGGCAGGGCTCTCTCTGCGGCATCAGTGGGACGGTGCCGAATCTACACAAGCTTCGACACATGAAGCACCGTCAGCCATAAACTCGGCTAAAGTTATGTACTCTGGGCCTTGGAGCTGTTGTTTAGGGATTGGGCCTTTGGTACCTGAACCGACAATCAAACGGGGAATCCCTCGAACATGCCGTTCTTCGGCCTGACTTTACAAGCTTGGGCTCCACGGGGCTTCATCTGTGACAAAGTGCCGTCACAGACTCGAGACTCCCTAAGCCCTATAAATCCTAAACCTTAAACCCTAAACCCTAAACCTTAAACCTTAAACCTTAAACCCTAACCTTAAACCCTAAACCCTGAACCTTAAACCCTGTAAACCCTGTTTTCCCAAAAAGCTCCCAGTCGAAAGTCCTACCTTTGAGGTCCTCTGAGCCGCAGTCCATAGAAGACGCTACGACCCTCAGTCCAGCCTTCAATCCCTACAAGATGACTTTTCTCAACGAACATCTTCCGGCGTTCGGCCTTTAAGACTCTCGGAGAGCCCCGACCATGCCCTGAAGCCTCAAGCATCCTCAACTTCTCCCCTAAGCCGTCTGTAAGCATGGAGAATAAGATGGTTTCGGGTTCCAGGGTTGCTGTCACGTTTTACAACAGGCCGGTGTAGTGCAATGTGTTTCGGGGAGTGAGGTGACTGGCTAAGGGAGACTGAAAAATGTGGAACAAAGGGTCTCATACACAGAGCTTGCAAGAAACTGAGAGCCCAGGCTTCCATGCTGTCAGACCTGCACAAAAGCATCATAAACATCCTCGAATCCCAAAGCTCACAGTTCAAGACGCTGGACAACCCAGACAATCCTTTAAAGCCCGCGCCCTCCACTCCGGAGCCCTAAATCAAGCCGAAACCCCTTGTTATTCTGATAAAATACAGAGCCTTTTTGAAACGCTTATGAAACCTGCAACAAACCTTACATGTAAGCGACAAACTACAACAATCAAAACAACTTGAGGAAACAACACCTGCACGCACCCCCCGCAAACGCCAAACCCTAAACCCCCAAACTGCAAACCCTAAAACCCCCAAACCCTAAACTCTAAACCCAAACCCCAAACCCAAACCCCAAACCCGTAAACCCCCAAGCCCCAAAAAACCCAAGCGTCAAGCGGCCCACTTGCAGGTGCCCTTATCTTCAAACCTGCGACCATCGCGGTCTTCCAGGGCTACCTCGGTCATGGAGCCGGGCTAAGTTGGGGCTCAGGGCTTCAGGGTTTAGGGGTTTGGGGGTTGGAGGTTTAGGGATTAGGGTTTAAAGGTGTAGGGGTTAGGGTTTAGGCCATCTCTTCCTCATGGTGCTGTTTAACTTGCTTTCTGTGTTCCGCACACACGTTGCCTTGTGTGAGTTTGTAATAGGTCTTGGCGGGAGCCACATAAAGCTTTTGTTTCATTGTTTCATAGGGTCTTCTAGAATTTGCATTGGGTTTCTTACGGGGGTTGCCGAGGGGGCTTGGGGCTTTGGGCACCTTTGCCTGGTGGAGCACCGTTTTGCGGAGGGCTCCAGAAGGAAATCCTGTAGGTCCAAAGCATCCACGACACATTAACCTACGGTTCTCCGGGAACCATCGCTTGAGGCCTGTTGGGGCACCGAGACCGTGGCAAAGGAGGGTTTTGGTCTAATATATCATATATATATATGTTATATACACTATATATAATATATAATATATTATATATTATATATTCTATATTATATATTTAGATTGAGGTCTCAAGGGGCAGATTCAAGCTCCCAGCACCATAAAGCAGGGGGAGCAGAAGGGTGCAGACTCCAAAGACCCTAAAGTCAATCTCTCTCTCTCTCTCTCTCTCTCTCTCTCTCTGGTTCACAAAGTCTCCCGTGACCAACCCACCCTATTGAGACTTGAGCTTTCAGGCCGGTACCTGCTACACAAGGATTAAGGCTTGCTGTACAGTCCTTCAACAGAGGAATGCTACAACCACAGGCTTGAATCCGAAAGACCCCGTAGCCCCACAAAGCAAACACATGGAGAAGCCCTATATAAATCACATATATAGATCTACCCATGTGTGTGTATATATATATATAAAGTATGTGTGTATATATATATATCACGTACATATATATATATATATTTAGTTCTGTATCCTATCTAGCTTTAAGCCCTCTCCGCGAGCTCCTTCAAAAGGGTGCAGCCGAAGCGACGTAGACCGGCACCTCGGACACGACGACCGGCCTCATCAGCTCGGGGCACTTCAAGTTTGTAGGACCCTTTTTTCGGATTTGGTAGATCTGTCTCAAGGCGTTATGCGGCTTTTAAGGTTGTGTAGCTCTTGCTTTACGGTTTTTGTTGTGGGTTTTCCTCCAGGGTTTCATCGATTTGTTGGAGGCGTTTGTAGTTCTGTAAGGCCTTATGAGAGTCTGAGTCTACCCTAAACCCTAAACCCTAAAGAGTCTCGAGCTTCCGACGCCTATATATACCCATGGGATTTTCTGGGGCCTTGTCAGAGATGTGTAAGGGCTGGTGAAGGTGAGGGTGCTTGGAGTGTTTAGGCCTCGGCCTGTGGTTTAGGGCTCTTGGTTTTGGATCTGAAGTTGGATCTGAAGGATTAGGTGATTTTTTCCCTCCCACTTAGGGTTTAGGGGTTTGGGATATCAGGTCAGGGTTTCTCGTAGCCCCAGCTTTAGCCCTAATCTCTGAACGGAAGCACACAGGACAAAGCGCTATAGCCTGAGTGCCCTGAAAGCCGAGGGGTTGCTTTGGATTTACGAACTCTGCAAAACTCACCCCGATACCCTGAACTCCAAAGCCATCAATCCCGGAAGCTTCAACCCTACGGCCTGCAAAATCTCTCCAAAAAGCAGCCCAGACTCCGGAGTCGCAAAAACCAAACCCCAAAGGGTCCAAGTACTATCATAGTACGTACTTAGTAGGTATTTGGGCCCCAAAAGTATATACTATACTATTACTTGGACCCTTTGGGAACCCTAGCCCCAAAGAATCTAAGAACCACGTCTCCAAATCGCAACACCCTATACCTCCTAAAATGTTTTTCCGTGCTTCAAAGTTCACGCGCCTGTGCCCTCGAACAAGTTCTGCTCTCTGGACGTTGATCATTGCCTGCAAAGAAACCCCCGAGACTCCAGCCAGTTGTGCAGACATCACGCTTGCATGTGACCCAGCTCTAACAAAAGGTTATCGAATGTTTGGGGCCGTAACACAAGCAGTACACGGCAGGGTTTTCTAAAATTTAAACTCCTATTGAACTACCAGGCAAAATCCTAGAGACCTAAACACGGGCGGGACCTGCCAATGTCGCTTGCGAACAATTCACTCGAAGTAAAAAGCAACCAGAATCACAAGGCAACTTGGGGCGTGCAGAATCAGAGCAAGTTCAGGCATCAACCAAAACAGGGGACCGCAACATAGACCTCAACTATTAGTGAGATCCTTACTGCAAGGACTCCCAGAAACACTTTGAAGACCCCGCCGTGTAGCCAGAAAGATGCAACCGGATAGGTTTGAAAGAGCGGCCGGCAATCGCGCCTCACCATCATCCTCGTCAGCGTCTGACCTGATGGTTGATTGCATGGGGTCTAAGTCTAGGATGCAAAAGCATACAAAACAAGAGATGACCTGATACAAAACTTGCTTGAACTCAATTACTTGCTGGGGCTGCACAAGGGAGCATAGACTGCCCCACAAAGGTTACAGGTTGCCGACCCTGCAGAGTGGAGGTCATCCGCAACAGCATCCTACGAATGGAAAAAACAATGTCATTGCTTCTGGCTCGCTGACCACAGACCCAATTTGGCTGCTCCAGCAATTGCATAGTAACACAAAACAGCAACAACACTGGCACCAGTAGTATTAACACACATAGTAGTAAGGAGCAATAAACCCTAAACCCCTAAACCCCTAAACCCTAAACCCTACACCCCTAAACCCTAAACCCCTAAACCCTGAACCCTAAACCCTAAAGGAACTCCTCAGGATGAAACAGCCGAAGCCCAGTGACCCGTCGTTGCTCGATCGTGGCGACGCCGGGGCAGCGCCAGGGCTCGGATATGCCATGGTTGGCCTGGACATCTCAGAGTTCCCGTTGGGTTTGTAGGGCTTAGCTTTAGGGATTGTATCGTTTCGCAGTTTTTGTAGGGTTTGTATGACGTTGTTTGTTCAGCTTTGATGATTTTCGGCCAGGTTTTCCAAGGAGTTCGGGTTTTCAATAGTGCTTAGGGCTTAGGGGTAAATGACTTAGTGTTTGGGGTTTGGGGGGGGGGGGGGGNNTCGAGCATGATGGGCCAACATAACCGTAACCAACAAAACCTTCTGCAATCATGTATGACCTTAAAAAACACACGATTGGACGCCATGAAAACTCTACATCTTAAAACCTAACTTAGGATTTTCAAGCCAGGCTTGAGGCTGGATGTGACCGTCGCTGTCGGACTCAGCTGCGGCGGTGGGTACCGTGCCAGTCGGTATAAGCATGAATGGAAATCGCTTGGGTTATGTGAGGTGTGGTTGGTTTTACAAAGGGTTTTGGGGACAGTTGCAAGCAAGGGCAATCCCCCTCATACAGCCCTTGCATCAGCACTCTGCCATGTACCTCAAGACTCATTCCGGACCCTATGCTACATGAAGGGCCTTGCAACAGTCAAGTTGACTTGCCTGCGGATAAAATAAAAGAGCGTTCATATTTGCAATACTCTATCTAGGGACTATAAGGGGATACTCGTAGTGATTGTTCCGACCACTTTGTTACATGGAGGCTAAGGGGTTCTGGAACTCCTTCTGGCAACTCGTATAGTCAGCCTCCAGAGCAGACATTGTAGAACCCCCGTTAGCACAGTACCTATATTCTCCATTGTAGTTCCTTTTCGGGGTTACCGTTTAGAATCCTAAATACAGATTTGGG